AGAACAATTTAAAACATAAAAAAGTAGAGAAAATAATATAAGAAACTTCATATTCCCATCACCCAGCCGTTTATTCTGAACTGTGCCAGGCCCATTCGTGGCTGAAAGATATTTGGCGAAGAGGTGATAATTATGAGGGCAGAATTGGCTTCAATAATTATCCCCTTGTGGCCCATCTTATTTCTTCTACTCCCCTACACCCCTAGCCCAGATTATTTTGAAGAAAATCCTGTCATCATGTAATTTCATACACAAATATTTTAGTATACATTTCTGAAAGGTAAGTTTTTTAAACTAAAAACCATTACCACAGTACTTCCTGGACACAAATACCTTATGGGATTGGTCTACTGGGTTTGAGAGTTTAGGACTATAGTCTCGTGGGGCAACTCAGTCTATTGGTATAATATAGTCCATAAAGACAATGTTCTACATCCTAGTTTGGTGAGTAGAGTCTGGGGTCTGAAAAGCTTGTGAGTGGCCATCTAAGACACAACTATTGGTCTCCACTCCTCCGGAGCTAAAGACAAAGAAGAAACCAAAGACTCAAAGAAGAAACCCATCTACATGAACAATGACATTACCTGCCTCGAGACCAGAAGAACTAGATGGTGCCTAGCTACCACTACAACCGTTCTGATGAGGGACTCACTAGATTGTCCCGGATAGAATGGGAGAAAAATGTAGAACAAACTGAAATTCCTAAAAAAGTGCCAGACTTACATGGAAGCCCCATACTCCCTGAAGGACTGAACTGCTGAGCGGAGGGCTGTGGGGACCATGGTCTCAGGGAACATCTAGCTCAATTGGCATAACACAGTTTATGAAGACAATGCTCTACATTCTACCTTGGTGAGTAGTGTCTGGGGTCTTAAAAGCCTGTGAGCGGCCATCTAACATACTCCACTCGTCTCATCCCTTCGGGAGCAAGGGAGAATGAAGAGAACAGGATACAAGGAAACGATTAGTCCGAAGGACTAATTTCCACAGCTACCAAGGCCTCCACCGGACTGAGTCCAGTACAGCTAGATGGTGCCC